TAAAATAATTTAATATCAAGCTGCAATAATTTAGTGAGTGTGGTTTTGAATACACAAGCAGAGAATACAAGTGTACTTAGTACATGATAAAGGCATCTCAAATCCATGGGAAAAAGTTGGATTTTTACAATGGTATTATGAAAAGTAAGTAGTAACATCAAAAGGCACATTAGATTTTGACCTCAAACTACCCAGCATAAGAAACTCTTGCTGGGTTAAAGATTTAAATGTAAAAACTTAAACTATTAAAAATATTAGAATATAAAAATATGGATTTTTTTTATCAGTGGATGGACAAAATCGAAGAAATCATAATGACATGGATTTTAAATTTTATAATAGCAAAACAAAAACAAAACCTTCCTCCTCAAAGGCCAACTTTAAAATAATTTCATGTAATCAACAAAAATCTTTAATCCATAAGTAAACATTTACATAAACAAAATTTACATAAAAGTACCAGGTGAGCAAGAGACACAAACCCAACACATGATCTCAAAGTTCAATAAAGGTTTTGATTAAATTGGTGATTGAATAGGCAACTCATAGAATATAAATGGCTAATAAACATATGAAAAAGTATGAATAATGACAAAAATGAAAATCGAAACAAGATGGCATTCTTTTGTCCATTAAATTAGTCAGGTTAAAAAAAATCTGACATTGCCTGTATTAAGGGTGTAGGGAAATAGATACTTATATTACTAGTTGGAATGTGAACTTGTACCTTCTTAAGGGGATATTCGGCCTTATAAACGAAGCACTTTAATATTTGATGCCGAATTTGCAGTTTTGAAACTCCATTTAATGTTTCTCCAGCCTTCTATAATTTAAAAAAATCCTCTTTTCAGTGTTTTTCTGGAAAATTCCTTTCCAAATTTTAGTATGAAAATCCACAGGGCAATACAGTAGTCTTCCTTTTCCCGTGGTTTCACTTTCCATTGTTTCAGTTACCTGTGGTCTGAAAATATTAAGTGGAACTTTCCAGAAATAAATAATTCATGTTCTAAATAGCTTGCTATTTTGAGTGATGAAATCTTGTACCCTCCCACTCCATCTTGCCCAGGACATGTCCCCTTTGTCCAGCATGTCTATGCTGTATACACTACCTGTGTCATTGCATAGCTGTCTTGGTTATCAGATTGAAAGACATTGTATATATAGGGTTCAGTACTGTCTACAGTTTCAGGCATTTACTGGTGGTCTTGGAATTTATCTCCTGCGAGTAGGGTGGGGACAACTGTACCAAGAAACACTTGTGGCAGATGCCCTCCTCTTTGATGGATTCAAGGGAAAGTCCTACACCAAGTCAATAGCATTCAAGATCGATACTTCTAAACTGGAATATGAGATGGTCTTTTATTTCTTTTACTCCTTCCTTTCTTTCCTCTCATCCCCTCCTTCAACTGCATTACTGGTGGTACAGTATACCTATTATTGTATAAAGCTACAAATGACCACCCTATTAATCTCAGGAAAGGCTATATAATTCACTTTAGCCAACAAAGTAAGGAAAGTGATATATGTCACATCCGAGCTCTTTAATAACTAGCTGGTAGTTGGCCATGCTAGTTTTCCCTTGCCAGAAGACCAGCTATGTTCCTGACAGAGGCTGCTAGGTCAGGCTAAGTCATGGTATGAAGATAATGTGGAGTAGTCATAGCAACTTGGATAGATATGTAGTGTGAGTGAAAAATAAATCTTCCTAGCACTGAGATTTTGCTATCATAGTTTATCCCAACCAATCCTGATAGTATTGCTAAAGAGCCTGAATTTGATTTCTAATTTGACTGAAATTTCTCTCTCTAAATAAGATAAAATAGTTCAGCAATTTATAATTATACCCCTTTTTCTCTGAGTCAGGCACAAAAGTCAATGAAAGATGTGCTCTGGTTTCTAATATAACCTTGGGGAAACAGATCTGTGAGTGGTAGCTTTGCTTTTCACTGTCAATGGTGGGGGTGAGACCAGGTCACTTGCTGGAGTTTTTGTCATTGCAACAATCTTTCTGCTGCCTGTTTCCAACCCCTTTTATTTGTCATGGCTTGGAAGGAGCCTTGGCAAGGATTTATACAGAAGAATCATGGTTCAATAAAAATCACAACACCTGTACTCCTTATGAGCCACTGCCATCATAGCTGGAGAGTGCCATGCTGAAAACGAGGGTGAGAGAGCAGCAGGGTCCCTTTTTTGTTATTGTTGTTCTCCATACTCATTGTACAGGGTTTTTGTAGAAGAGGATGAGGGGATGTGGTGAGTCATCTGAGGAGGACTGAGAAGACTGCTCTGGAAGATGGACATTTTATAACAGGTACCTAACTCTAGGGAGGTTAGGAAAGGCTTCCCTCAGGAGGACAAGTATCAGAGCAGAAAGATGAATGACATTAAGCACAAGGGAGGAGTTAAAAGAGGCTATTCTAAGTAGTGGGAAAAGCACACAAAAAGCTCAGGGTCATATAATCAAAACCATTAAATAATAAAAAAGAAAATAATTACAAAATATTGCTGCGAGAAAGTTAAACCGAAATATGAGGGCATTATCCTTTGAGGATTCTCCTGCCAGGTTGAGTGTTCCACAGGCTTCCCCTGCTACCTAGGTGTTCTAGGAACCCATCGGGTTTCTATCTGAAGTTTTGAGAAGGTTGCATCATGATTTGCTGAAGAAACGTCCTGTTGTAGCAACAGGTGGCTGGTTCTTCCACCAAAGCAAACACACAGCGCTGAGTGTTCAGAAGTTTTTGACCAAAAACGGCATAACCCCTGTCCCCCACCATCCCTATTCACCTTGCCCCAGCAAATTCTTTTTTGTTTCCCCAGATGAAAAAGTCCTCAAAGGGAAACATTTTGCCCATGTGCAAAATGTGACACAAAAAAATAGCAGAAGCACGAAAAGGCATCGAAACCGACAAGTTCAAAAACCGTTTTGAGCCGTGGAAAAAGCATTTTGGTAAGTGTATTGCATCAAATGGAGAGTACTTTGAAGGTGACTGAAGTTTAAACATGTACGAATAAATATACAATGTTTTACCAATAAATTATGGGTTTTTTTGGGTCCTCCCTCATACATGAAAATATGTATTCATGGATTATAAGATTTAGTTTGTTAAGATATTCATTTTCCTCAAATTGATCTAAAGAGACCAGGCAACACCAAAAGCCAAGCAGGCTTTTTGATAAAATGTTTAAAAAAAATTAATAAGCTAATTTTAGGATTTACATGGGAATTCAATGGATCCAGAATGAATAAAAGCAATCTAGAGGATGAAAAATGAAATTGGAAGGCAAACCGCCTGATTTCCAGACTTACTATAAAGTGATGACAATCTAGACTAATAGATTAATAGTAAAGACTAAGAAAATTCAGAAATAGACCCATACATTTACATTAATTGATTTTCAACTGATGCCACAAGTGAGTGCAAAGGAGGAAAGGATTTTTTTTAAAAAATGGTGTTGCAACACCTATATATTCCTCAAAATTTATGTTCTCCATATGTGAATAATTATATCAGTGTAATTAGCTAGGACCCTAAAGTTTCTCCCAAAAACCATATAATGTTTATAACACTGGAGTTGGTAAAGATATATTAGAAGACATAGAAAATATTAATGATAAAGGAAAAAGGATAAATTAAGCTTCATCAAAATTAAAACATTCATTATGCAAATGAGTAGGCAAGCCACAGACTGGCAAAAATATTCTGAACATGTTTATCTAACAATATCTGATGGAAATATTCTATAAGTTCAGTGGTGATTGCATGGGTATATACAGTTGTCAAAACTTCTCAAATGAAATACTTAAAAATCTGTTATTTTGCTTTATGTAAAGTAAACCTCAATTAAAAAAAGAAAGCCCAGAATAAAAGAGCATGTTCTTATCTATGGGCAAAAGTGACTAAAATATTGAAGCCTAGATGTTAATACTGTTAAAAAATTTTATTCCAGAAAATGCCCTGTAAATTATTTCTGTATTTTAATCCACAGTGATAACCAAGAGAACTGCTTTCTCCTTAGAAGTGTGTCACACAGGGGTCAAAAACATCAAAATCAATGAAATAAATCTTAATTGAATAACTTATGACAAGTTAAGTATTTGCAGCATGAGAGAAAAGATGTGCCACCTGTCTTTAAAAATGTTGCCTGGCAGAAAAAGGAGAATTTAGGTAGAGAGAACTATTAATACTCAAATACGCTTCCATACTCTGTGCTCCTCACACCCCCAATTTATACTCAGGAAGCCTTACCCCCAAAATACATAAATAAAAAATATGATTGACATCTGAATAACAAATCCTGTGACCATACATTATAGTATAACATAATTAACTTAATTCTTTAATCCTTGTCTTTCTAGATGATTTACTTTCATACAGACTTGTCTCTTGTAACTCATCTTTGAATCGTCAAAGATTCAAAGACCAAGAGTTCAAAGATTCAAAGACCAAATCTAGACCAAGAGTCTTGAAAACAATAGATTCTCAACATTAATTATAAACTTGAATTTATTAACCCATATATTTACTGTTAGTTAGAATTTATGTTCAATTCCATGTTCCCCGAATGGGAAATTTATTGCAGTTATTTTTTATCATTTTTTCACATAAAATGTTTGAATCAGGAATGAGCTCATTTGGTAATTTATAGAAAATATATATAAAAGGAGTATACTAAATGGCATACAAGTTCAACTAACTCCAGCATAAAAATAACTATACTGTAATCACTTGACTAGATTTTAGAAAGTTTTAGAAAAAGTACAACTATTAAAAATATAAAAAACAAAAAACCCCATTGAGTCTAGTTTCAGTCTCCACGTGAATATCTAACTGATTAAAAAAGAAAGGCTGAAGTACACTGTTGTACTTGTGAACTGAGAAGGACATTGTTATTCCAGTGATGGAAGCACCACTGGTACCATTCTTTCAGCAGCTAAGACTTCAGGGAATTCTTAGTATGAAAACCAGCAGTCCCTTAATCACACATTGTAGGAGCATTTATGATGCTTTGCAGGGAGGCTTTCTTCTGAAATTTTCTTGTTGCTTTCCGTCCTGAGCACAATAGGTTCAAGATGGCTAATGCTGTTTCCTAGTTATGCCAAGAACCTCCTGAATGTCACTGGGCTTTCAATGTGAAGATGGATGACAAAACATCAAAGCGAATATCTTTTTCTAAATGGGGACTCCCACGATCATGTTATTTTTGGGAGAGCAGCTCTCAGGCTCCATGGATATCACTTGAACTGAGTAGCCACATTCTTCTGCAGCTCTTGCTCGATCCAGATCCACTAGGCACATGCACTGTTTTCCTGAAAAACAGTCAAATGATATCATGAGACACCTTTTCGCCAGCAGTATAATTTCGGTTTGTTTAAGGAAATCTAAAAAATGACAAAATCCATAAGTACTACAGAGGATGCTGTTTACTCCCATCTCGTTTAGTCTCTTTACATTCAATTCTTGATTAATGTGGATGGAGAGAAGATAGTTATAAATACATGACACTTTACAGATTTGCTTGTGCTAATAATTTAAAGAATGTTAACCTTTTCAAATGTATTTATATACAAATCTCAAATTAGAAATCCAGATTCTACTTTCTACTTTGGTTTAAAATCCTCCACTTTCCCTATAAAACTACATTATCTGTAAAATTGTGAAGAAAAAAATTCTGTCTTTAAGAATTTTTTTTTTTGAGTTGGAGTCTCACTCTGTTGCCCAGACTGGAGTGCAGTGGCCGCTTCCGGCCACCGCAGCCTCTACCTGCTGGGCTCCAGTGATCCTTCCGCCTCAGCCTTCCAAGTAGCCGGAATTACAGGCATGCGCTACCACGCCCGGCTAATTTTTTGATTTATTGTAGAGAGAGGTCTCGCTGCCCAGGTGGGTCTCGAACCCGCGGGCTCAGGAAATCCACTCACCTCAGCCTCCCAACGGCGCAGGATTACAGGCTGAGCCACCGAGCCCGGCAAGAATTTTTTTAAGAATAAAATTCTGTCTTTAAGAATATCTAAAGTATTATGCTGACAAAGGACCATCTAAAAGACCTTTTTCCATTTGAAGATTTTTAGGACAATGAAGAAATGGGAAATATTTCAGAAAATTCTCGATTGTGGGCTGATTACTTCAGGTGAATATGTAATGTTGAATGTAATTTCCAGAGCTCCTGCACCCTTATAAAACAGTAGTATTCTATTTGCAATCTTTGGAAGACAAAAGAGGAAACCTGACTGACAAACAAAACAGCTAATTTGTTTTCCTTTGGCAAACACAAACTTCAAAAGTAGCTTGGGAAAAAACGATTTGGGGCCGAATATATTCAAAGCCATGGTTTACTTTTACACTTCCAATTGCTCTAAATTCAATATATAAGACTTTTCATCCTCTTGGAAACAGGTTATTTACTATGCAGAACTTCATTCATTCAATTTTTCCTTAAAAATTATAATAATGCCTAAACATGATTTTTCAACAATTTACCTGAATGACAATGGAAACTGCTAAATGAATACAACTTCAGAAATGAAGACAGTTGGGCTCGGTGGCCCAGTCTGTAATCCTGCGACTTTGGGAGGCTGAAGTGAGTGGACTGCCTGAGCCCGCGGGTTCGAGACCCGCCTGGGCAACTTGGCGAGACCTCATCTCTACAATAAATCAAAAATCAGCTGGGCGTGGTAGCGTGCGCCTATAGTTCCAGCTACTTGGAAGGCTGAGGCGGAAGGATCGCCGGAGCCCAGCAGGTCGAGGCTGTGGTGGCCGGGAGCGGCCACTGCACTCCAGTCTGGGCAACAGAGTGAGACTCCAAATCAAAAAAAAAAAAAAAAAAAGAAATGAAGACAGGTATAACTAAAATAGAAAAGTTTCTCTGTGAAAGATAGAATCCTCATAGAAATAAACAGTGGAAGATGAAATCAGTAGGTAAGAACTGGCAATGAGACTCATATTTAAAATATTTATTTTGTATATTTTCCCTAAAAGGACCAATGCCATAAAGAACTGTGTTAGAATGATATAAAATGAGATGTCTAGAATTCTACTTAGGCAAAATCATCCCCTCTTTAACAACAAACAGCCTCATGGCTGACATTTTTTTCCCCTTAAAATACTGTCCTTCTTTTAAGACGTTTATGTTTCTCCCATCTACTTTTCAGTTTAAAACGAAAAATTCTGTCAGAATGGGATGCTCTGCATTCCTTTAGTACCCACCCTGGGTTTATATTACAGTTCATTTACCCTTGGCTTTGATCCCAGTCCAGTTAATTTTTCTTTTTCCATTATGTAGAAGAATTTCATGTTTTCACATGTTGAAGCATCTTTACAACTGAAATTCAGTTGATAGTCTACTTTTGTGAGCCTGGTGAATTTCCTAAAAACACGCACAGAACATAGGAATAGTCTGTGTAAAGCAAAATGTAGAAATCTGATTGAGTCTATAGCTTTGTTTGAACGTGATTTTCCCCATTCCTGCCAGCAATCTCACCAAATCTTTCTCCTCTTCAACTCTGGCAACTTTCCTTCCAGCTGCATCCCCTCTGTTTGATACTTAAAACTCACATCTGCCATGTACATATCTATCCACCATACTACTTATGTCTTCATTGGGTTGCTATTTGAATTTGCCCTCCAAAAATTGTGTGTTAGAAACTTAATCCCCAATGCAACAGTGTTGGGAGGTGGGATCTAATGAGGAGTGATTAGCCTGGAGGGTGAAGTGAATGGATTAATGTCATTATCATGGCAGTGCATTCATTATCAAGACTGTGGCTTTCTTATAAAGGGGCAAATTCAGCCTCTTCTTGCTCTCCTTCTCACCATTTTGCCATGATGCTTCAAGAAGGCCCTCACCAGATGCTAGTCCCTTGATATTGGCCTTCCTAGCCTCTAGAAACATTAGCCAAATAAATTTCTGTTCATTATAAATTATCTAGTCTGTGGTATACTGTTATAACAGTACAAAACAGACTAAAATATGGGTCTAGTGAATGGAGTTCTATCACGGGAAAAGGAGGAACAAGAAGGAAAGAGACTGAAAGAGAAAGAGGTTGTAGGCAGGAGAGAACGAGCTCCTTCTGTGTTTGTGCCCCAGAGTGTGAGAAAGGAAATTACTTGTTCCCTCCGTCTCGGGTCTCACATGTCTCTCCAGTGTGAGCATCTTGCCATGCTGACTTTGATTTTAGTTTAAAGATAACGATTTATCATATATGTGGTCTCTAAATGCAAGCTCATTTCTCTGGTACTCAGCACCAGAAACAACAATCCGGTTTCCAGTATACTATGGAGGAAATGGGTTATGCTAGAATTTTGGAGAGAAAGTATGATGTCCAATGTGGAACTTTTCTTTAATATTAGATTTGACTCTACTTATTTATCCTAAACCATGATTTTAAAATCGAAACTTCCATTGGTGTGACTCCAGGCTCCCAGTGTGCTGGAAAGCATTATTACAAAAATGGACAAAAGCGTCACATCTGAAATCATCTAATTTGGGGTCACAGTGTGACTCAATCATCTACCAGATGAAGGCAAGTTTTTGTCTCAGTTTCTCATATCATTAAAATGTAAATAATAGCACCTACTCCATAAGTATTTCTGTAAGAACTTACTGAGATAATAGGTGAGGACATTAGCTCATGCCTACATGTGTAATAATTGTTAGCTGCTATTCTTCTTCCAAACGTGATTTATTTTTCTAAAGTGAAGTCTTCAATAAATCAATTACTTAATAAAACTTGAAATGCTTCTATGGGTCTTCTGATTTAGGTAATGCTTAATATTGCAAATGTCAAATAAATTGGTCTACGATGAATATACTAGTATACTTTTTTTTTCCGAGAAAGGAAGCCTTATCACCCTTGTTAATATATTTCATAATGTATCAATTGTGGCATCATAGTTGATGTTTCCATACATATTATTTTATTTTGTGGCTTTTGATAGATTTTGCAGTTTGTTTATAACAGCAAATAAGAGATTTAACATAATAATTCTACTCAATGTACAAACACTGAAAATGTACTTAAAAGTATTAATGTTAACCAAAATTAGGTAAAATGTTATTATAGTTACAAAGCCCTTTTCAATATGGGTTACATTTTCTGGAAAGAATAAACTAGTTTCTTGTTGATAAACTCTTTCCATATAGACTCAGTCCATTAATTCCCAGGCATATTGCACATAATCTACTCAGCAGCTGCTCTGGGAAAACACGTACCTATGAGCCTTCGTTGGGGTGGAAGCTGAACAGCTGTCTGATCTGCAAATCTGCACAGAATCATGTGTTCCTAAAAGAAAAAGCAATAGAACGTGGGTTTATTTTTATCTTCTGCTTTAAATTTGTAAAGACAGAAAAAACTACCTCATTTTTCTGGAGTTCAACATTTTTAATTAAATTAAGTGCTGCACAAATGGTACTTCTGAAATAAGTAAGCTTTCAGAAAATGGTACTCAATAATTTCCCTTCAAGTACAGTGTTCTTCAGATGTAGTTCTTAAGAGCAGATGCACAGAAAATCCTCAGGGCCATTTTGCCCAGTTGCAAAATGAAATATTAAAACATGGTTATATTTTGCTATTATAGTGTATTAAATTAAAAGGTCAAAATTCATTTATATTTTTCCTTGATAAAATATATTTAAATCTCTGCGATGTGACTCCAAGAAGACATGCTAAGTGGCTTTTCACGTAAACCATTTACCAGAGGAAAAGCAAGCAGTGCACATCACTATGTGGCTTCTGTAGTTCTCTGTGATACCCAGCGGGGTTCTGGCTAGTCCTTGACTTTTCCTGACTCTTCCTGTCACTCAGAAAGTGGAATTAACTGAACTAAGAATCCCTTTAGAGGAGAGAAGTCAGGATCTTGTATTCTTCTCATTCTAAAAGGCTATAGGAGGTGCATCCCTTTCTGCTTTAAGATAAACTGTAAAGAGGACCTGAGGAAATGGGAGGGGGTTATTACTTCTGCTTAACAATTTTAGGAAAGATTGCATTAACAATAAAAAACAAAAGAGGGCTTTACAGACAGAGTTGATGATTTTGCACAGCGCTCTTAGATCTGCATGTAACCAAAGGTGAATGATTAGGAAGAAATGAAATGAATGCAATGCTCCAGTGACAACTGTTCACTTAGAACAGCTGCACTTCCCAAGCGTGTGCATGATCTCACCTGTCAGCTTGGCACACAGGTTAAACTCACATGCATCATGTGTTCCCTTAGCATTTTGTTCATTAAATTTGAAGGTCTCGTTTTTTAATAAGTGAAATGATTGTGACAATGTTACTTTTCAAAAAAGAAATATCTTTGTCTCAACTTTTATGCATTTTTAAGAAAACATTTTAGTGCTCATTATAAAATTTAATGGCAGTGGGTGGGAAACTAACAAAACTGTTCAAATAAGTAACTTTTATTAAGTTTCCACGAACAGCCTAGCATGAACAAAGGGACAGAAGAAGAATTTAGAATTATATGATTTAAAGGAAAGGCAAGAAAAAGTATGGCCTCATGATGTTTATAAATTAAGATTCATTTTTTATAAAGGTAATGTCAAGGAAATCACCACCTCAGATAAGGTTTAATTCTCTTGAACTTATAAGTCTCATGATATTTTACTGGAATTATTTGTGTATGTTCTCTTTAGTTAAAGTTAGGTTCAGAAAAGGTAAGGCACATAGTAGGTACTCAGTAAAGGCTGCTGGCTAAATTGAACTATGGAGAAAAAGACTTCCAAAGTGACCCTCAAGATATGTGGGCACTTTGTCCTGTGATCTTCAAAAGGCCAAGCAGCTTTTGGAGTGTGCTGGAGAAAGAAGAGATAAGTATTACAAGCTAAGGTCATGGGGAGCCTCTGTTCTCTGGAAGAGTCTGTACACCTCATCTCCACTAGAAATTTTACATTCTTTTCCAGCTAGTGAGACTGTGGGCGCCCTATCCTCTCATCATCCTTTTCCCCCCAAAAGCCCTCTCTTTGGTTTACTTAGCATCACTCAAGGAGGAATTAAAATCTACTTTTTGTTTTCTCAATTCATTTTCTATGTTATTGACATGACTTCACAGAGAAAGTTGAGGTGTTTTGAATCTTATGCAAATAAAGTTTTTGAGGTCTTAATGTTTCCCCTCAAAATCATATAGTTTAAAAATTTAATTTAGTAGGCAAAGACTGGTGATATTCTGGTTCTGGATGAAATCATGAACACTGAAGGACCTTTTCTTCATTTCTGTGGACGAAGGTATGGGTAGCAGGCAGGCTGGGAGGCAGAGGTGGAAGTGGGTGTTTAAGGGGAATTGAGAAGAGGTAAAGGAGATATAGCTGCTGAGGTGGTAGGCATAAACATTTGTAGGTCACTGTACCTCACTCATTCACTGTTTTTTTTTGTTTTGTTTTTTTGAGTTGGAGTCTCACTCTGTCGCCCCAGACTGGAGTGCAGTGGCCGCTCCCGGCCACCGCAGCCTCTACCTGCTGGGCTCCGGTGATCCTTCCGCTTCAGCCTTCCGAGTAGCCGAAATTACAGGCATGCGCTACCACGCCCGGTTGACTTTTTGATTTATTGTAGAGATGAGGTCTTGCTGCCCAGGCGGGTCTCGAACCCGTGGGCTCAGGCAATCCACTCACCTCAGCCTCCTAAAGGCACAGGATTACAGGCTGAGCCACCGAGCCCGGCTCATTCACTGTTTGATAGAGAAGGTAAAAGTCTTAAAATGTAGAGGCTGGTATGCAAAATGAGACTACAGGTTTTTAGCGAGTCTATGCAAAAAGTAGAATTAACTAAACTAAGAACTCAAACTAATTTATCAACTTTAAGTGAATTTATCTGTTTTTCTCAAATAATATCATTTCTTAGATTGTGTTATATCATGCTAGTGACCAATTAATTGGTTAGTGGTGATTTTCAGAAAGCTGGAAATTGCTTTGCTCAGATTGTTGATTCAAAACTATATAATATTTTGATTCCTTTTGGAAAACAATACTCCATGGGTCTCTTGCGTTTCTTCACATCTTACAAGCACAGGCACTATGTGTCTTTGTTTCAAACTAGGCATTGGCAAACTATGGCCCATAGCCCAAATTCAGCCTATGACCTCTTTTTGTGATTTTTAGAAAGCACTTACATTTTCAAAGAGTTGTAAACAAACAACAACAAAAACAATAACGATGTCAAAAACAATGAAGAAGAATACATGGGAAATTTGTATGTCACCAGCACAGCCTAAAATATTTACTATCTAACCTTTCACAGAAAAGTTTGCCTCTGTCCCAAGTGATCTTTTCAAGCATGTTAGCAAAGCATGGAACATGAACAGCCTTGGAAAATATGAGGGGGAGAACCCCCCCAAAAAAACCAGAATTATTTTTTGGAAGGCAGGTTCCTTGTAGTACAGGCTTCCCCTACTAGGTAAATGTTCTAGGAACCCATAGGCATCAGTGTACCACCTAGCGTTGTTGTGAGAGGCTGTGTTCAGCTTCAGTGAATTTCTTGCCCATTTCATGATGGGTGATTTACGAACACACCTGCCCACAAACCGTGCTGAGTGTTTACCAGTTTTTGACCAAAAATACCATGATTTCCATGCCCCACCCTCCCTATTCACCAGATCTCACTCTGAGTGACTTTTTTTTTTCTACAGATGAAGAAAGTCTTCAAAGGGAAATATTTTCCTAATGTGTAAGATTTAAAACAAAAAACACCAGAAGCATTAAAAGCCATCAAAATTGACAAGTTCAACAACTGTTTTGAGCAGTGGAAATAGTATCTCGATAATTGTACTATATTAAACAGAGTATTTTGAAGGTGCCTGAAGTTTAAACATGTAAAAATAAATACAAAATTTTTAAATAAATAAATGTTGGTGTTTTGGGTTCCCTTCTGGACATACTATCTCCCTCTGGAACAAAAGGCAGGTTATTACCTGGCCCATTTCCTTCTGCCCTGTAGGAATTGGGCCTCAGGGAGTTAGTGTGAACATGGTGGTGCTCTGGCCACTGCTACTGCTGTGAGCAACAAACTGTCTTTTGCTTCTGACTTAGGAGTCTTGTATCTTCTACCAGAATATACTATGGCAGGCTAACTTGTTAGCTTGTAAGTAGTTACAATTTCAGAACTTTCACAAATCTTGTCAACTACTTGAAGTGTTAATCTGAATTTGCAAAAGAAAAGAAAAAGAAAAGCTATATTAGATGCTCATGAGTAATTCAAATTAACTACAGATTATATACTTCATTAGAAATTTTTGATGAAAAAAATCTAAAGAAGGGATAGAAAGTATTAGGATGACATCTAGGTCTTTTTGAGGTTACCTTGTATGATAAAGTTTTCTTGAATTGTTCACTGAAATAGAAAAAAAAAGGAATTAGTCATCATTCCAAATACTAAATATTGAGTAAAAAAAATGAAGAAACTAAGTTATAAATCAAAATATGTATTATATGTGAAGATATAAAATGCTACTTTGAAGTAAAAACTGCCAGTTTGAAATATCTTTATAACAAGATAGAAAAGTATATCATCAGTATGTTATTCATTTTAATAAATTTCTTTCACAGATTGCTTACACTTTTAGAGAAGCCCAATCTTTTTTTTTCTCTTCTCTCATGAGAATACACAGCTCCATGTGTTTTAACATGTGGGTTTTATTACTATTCAGGCTTGGCACAGTCAACAAATCAGGATAGAATTGTCATTGAAAAGATATCTTGTTACAGTCCCCCAAGAGGAAGGAGAATGCCACCCCATGTTCCTATGTGGGGCCACATGGGAAAACACCAGTGTGTGTCTACAAGAAGAGGGAGAGGGTAAGGCATGGGCAAGAGCCTTTAATGTGGTTTCATGGAAAGGAAACTCAAGGCAGGGTAAGCAGGTTTAGGATTGGCTAGTTTGAATAATTTCAGTGGGCTATGGGGCACAGGGCTATCCCTAGTTGTCTAGTGTCTGGGCATGGGATAATAGGGCAGTAGTATAGTGGCTTACAAGTGTAAGAGCTCAATAAAGGAGATCATGGGATGGGAATGTGGTGAGGGCTCTGTATTATTTGGTTTGCATATGAAAAGCATGCTTGGGGGGGGTGGTGGGGGGGTGATATGAATGTCACAGGAGGAGACACCTTCTGTCTTTGTTTCAAAGAAAGTGATGTGCCATTTGTTAATATACAAGAGAAATATTGAAAATATATTGAAAAGAGCAATTTTAAATTATTTTTGGCTTATGTTGCAATATTTATTTTCTTGTATTAGAAGAGATTCCTTTGTAGAGAAAAAATGTATTTTTCATTAAC